CTCTCTCTCTCTCTCTCTCTCCCATGTATGTTCTTTGTCAAGTGAAGAGGCGTCCTTCTCAAAAGCACGCATTGTTTGAGTCACCCAAGTGCGCTGCTACGACCGTACACAACCTGTTCCGACTCTTGGAGGAGCGGATTACCCACCGTGCTATTCACGGTGTGGTGTTTTCGCTAGCTATAGTTTGCATTGGATTTTGCGAACGACGGATCGGACTGACCACTTTTTTTTTACTTTTTTTTTTAATATAAACAGGTCCTTATGGCCCTGGCTCCGTGTCCATTCTGGGGAGCATCAGTCCGGTTCCTATTCCTCCGGCAAGTCAAGATTGAATACAACATAGTACACACCCACGCTTCCTTCTGTCTGGCCGAAGGAACCCTGACCAGCATTGATTACTCCTGTATGGGAGGATTGACTGTCAGCTTGCCCTACCCTAGCTTTCCTCTCAGATACCCTGTTGGTTCCGTTGAATAGGTATTGAAGCACTAGAAAACCGGGAGAGGTTTCTATCCGTCTGAGGCTTGAACCTCAATTTGTCCCTCTCGGGGCTACAATCCTTGTCGTTGTTGTAGTTGCCCATTTTTTCCAGTGTAACTTTTTGTCTGAGACTGTTGCGATCTTCCCCTGTAGCAACCAGTCTCTCATGAAGATTTGTCTCCTGAGTGCGAGTCTTTCAGGTTTGACTGTCATTGCTGTCGATATGTTCCTCCATTTGCATCGGATCTCTGTTTCCACCATCCTCGGCAGCAGGTTCCACATTTCCTCCTTGGCCACTTCTGAACCCTCGATTGTCCTGGTACATCTCCTTTTCCATATGACCCACATGGCTATTTTCCTCATCATGTGGAACCAGACCGCTTTTCCACTTCTGAGGCTGTCGGGGATGTTAGGATGTTCAAAGGGGTGAGGTTGGGGGGAGGGGATGAGAAGAGGTGGGACCACAGGTTTCGGACTTTGTTCCATATCCAGGCGGCCTGGCTGCAGTAGAGGAGACAGTGGGGATCCGAGTGTTTTCTTCTTTGGCGGACTTTTGTTCCATATCCAGGGACGTTGTCATCGCACATTACGCATAGTTCAGAGCTATCGGGATCCAAGTGTTTTCTTGTTTTGTGGAGCCACTAGTTGACAGGGAGTGCTGCATGGGCTAGGAGCCACTGCAAGCTACGGATTCTAGCTAGGTCTGACGGGGAGGTACTTTGTCCAAGGGATGGATATTGAGGCTGTAGGCTCCAGGCTCAGTGTCTCTCTCCATCTGTCTTCAAGTTTGGGGTTGGGATCCATGGTCAGTAGGCCTAGGTTGTACCCGAATTTGACGTCGTAGTCCATTATCGTTTTGGTCTTTCCAATTTTGCTTTGTTTCCATATCCACTCCGTAGGATCGAATTCGAGCTCCGTTATGCTGAGGCCAGGCTGGAAGATTATCCATGGTTTGGTTTTTGTTACCCTCACTTTTCGAAGAAGGAAGGACTCTATCGTCTCAAGAAAAGGTTCTCTGTTGAGAATGGCTAGTTCCTGGAGGTTGTGATTGGCGATGGGATAGGAGTAGAATTTGGAAAGGTAGCCGGTGGCTGAGGTGCGGGATGCGAACCGGTATGCTCTGTTCGGTGAAGTTTGGGATATGAGTATACCCCAGTCCCCTGGTTTCCAGGAGAAGTCTTCTTTCAAGAGGTGGAGCCAAGGGGGTGGGATGCTCTTCTGGATTGAACTTAGGTTGTCTGCGAGAGCGTGACATCCTTTTAGGGTGCTCCAGAGTTCTTGTTCCATTCGCCATTCCCTCCGTTCTTCTGCCCACAGGTGTTTTACCTGCGACACCCCTTTTTCAAACCACGACAGCCATCTTCGGTCCTTCGTTCTTAGTGACCAGGGACTACCCTCGGGGTCCTTCATCCACTCGTTGCAAAACAGCGGTTGTCTCAGGGCCTGTTCTTTGTTCTCCGTCGTGCCACGTTTGCTTGGCATAGCTAGGCTTTCAGAGTCGGCGTCCAGTACAGGTTGGGTGTTGGGGCTGCCTGGTTGACTGAGTTACGTATGGTGTTTCTGCGGGGTCTGCTTATTCTTATCGTCCACTCCTTTGCCATAATCCAGAAGTAGCAGCTCATGTTCCGTGGGGAGCTTATCGGTGCTAGGTTTCTTATGTTGTCTAGAGCCATCTTGGTCCATGGTAGGTATTGTCTGGTCAGGATCTTGATGATCCATTTCATCTGTAGTGCTGTTGATTCTTGCTTGGGGTCGATTAGCCCTAGGCCTCCCTCCTGCAGTTTTCTAATGATGTGGCTCCATGCTACCTTGTTGATGCATGAGGTTCGGTTGGGGTCCCCTGTCCATAGATAGCATCTTGCTCTAGCCTTTATGATTTGGAAGTCGACGTCCGGAGGAGACCAGCTGGATACGATGTACCATAGTGTGGAGAAGAAGGTTGTGTTTATATTTAATGCCCTTCCGATCAGCGATGCCTGTGCATTCATGCATGGGGCCAAGGGGGTTATTGCTTTAGCAATTAAGTTGTGGCTCATGCCTGGCCACACGCCATCCTTGTTGACCGTGATACCTAGGTATCTAAGTGCCTGTTCGCCCGTGGACCACGACATAGGTGTGGCTGTGCCCTCGGGTTGGGGGGGCGTCTCGTCTGCTAGCCACCATCCTTCGGTCTTGCTTCACCTTCGTTTCGGATGTGAGACGGAAAACCTCCATAGCCCTCGCGAGAGCTTGGAAGGAACTGTTGTTAGCACGGACAAGAACTGTGAGATCGCGTGCGAACATCAGAGCGGTGGGTAGGGCGAAGTCGTGGAGTGGGTTGAAGTTCCGTTCGGTGTGACATCCGTCACCACGTGATCACCTCAATGCTGATTTTCTTCTCCTTTACACATTCACGCTCGCACACATGCCCATGCAGCCGTCCTCGCGCTAACTGCCTCGCGTGCTCTCAAGTTGACCCTCTCGTCTGCTCGCTTGAGACGCCTCCTCACTCTAAGAGCCTCTGCGCAACAGCCGACTAGATCGATGCTCGAAAGTTCGTTCTCACCATAACACAGGCAAGACTCGCGGTGACCACCATCACCTGCCACGTCGCCAGGCCAGTCCCGTCCTCTCTCTCTCTCTCTCTCTCTCTCTCTCTCTCTCTCTCTCTCTCTCTCTCTCTCTCTCTCTCTCTCTCTCTCTCTTTGTGTGTGTGTGTGTGTG